ACAAAAAACAAACTGGCACATTAAACTGTCCTCAGTCACAATTTGGCCATTTCAATAAAAATAATAATAATTAAAACATAATCATAAAAAAACATAATAATAGTAGTAATAATAATTATAATAATATAATTATAATGAATTCTTCAGAATTTTTGTAGTTTCGATGGATTATTTTTAAGTCTATTACTTATGATGGCATAGCAGTCAGAATAGAACAAATGACCTCATGTATGGGACAAATTCTGGACCTTTGGTAGTGAGGGGTGGGCCTTCCGAACCCCCCTGGCTAAAGACCTGAAGAGTTAGAACATGATTTATGCTCATCGTAAACATGTTTATAATAGAATTGTGGCTGTAAAGTGCACAAACAGGTGTTTTAGGCGCAGGTCGGATTTTCTCCTGGTCATAATTTATTTATTTATATGAATTTTGTCTAAAATCATACCTTTCCAGTTTCATCTGGAATGCATCCCAGATCACCTTATGAAGTGGTTTGAGCGATCTGATATCTGATCAGAATAAAATCGAATGAAGTGAGCAAACAGCCTCATAAACATAGACGTGATGGGAATATATATTATATATAAATATATTATATTAATTTTATAACAAATATATTAAATAATATTAAATTACATTAAATAATAAAAAGGACAAATGCTGGACCTTTTGGCCGTGGGGGGGTGGTTAGTAGAAAGTAACATGCTATTAGGTTATGTGACCGCTAGATGGCGATTGGATTAATAGATATTTGGGATTATTGGATAAGAAGTTTACCACCACTAGGAGTTTGTCAGAGCAGTGTCTCCTAGCCATGCTCACTTTCTGTTCTTTTCTACTGCATCCTACAATATTACACAGCACCAAAAATGTAAAAGCGTATATTTAATATTAATATGTTTTTGTCCACAGCCATGAGCCCGTGTGCTCCAATGAGCTGTGCTCTCTTCAGCGCTCACCATGACAACGAAACTCACAGCAGTGACATCACATTGTAAACATTTGCATCTGCATTCCTATAAAGCTCGTCGGTTCTCTCTCAGTGTTGTCAGTGCGCTCGGTGTTGCTGTCTGTACTTGACCAAGGTGAGTTCAATACCTGACGGTACGAGTGGAGGAGCCACGCCAGACTCACGAAGTCTTCACTTCGTGAAGCTACACTCAGGCCCGTCTGTGTTGTAGTTCCTTGGGGTTTGCGTACATAAACGCAATATTGCGAAGAATATTGCGTGTTTGTTGCTCGAAAAGTGCCACCGAGCAATATCCAGTGAACACTGGCACAGTCTTGCGCCCGGTTAGCTCGTGCACTTCCTGGGGCAAAGCCGTGAGGACCCTCAGGGAAACACGGGAGGCCGGTAGTGGGACCCCGCTGCGAGGGTTATGGTGGGTGGGAGCAGCGAGGCCCACTCATCGTCTATTTTAAAGTATAGTTTCAAACTTTTAATTACTATAGTTTAAAATAGAAACCATGGTAACTGTAATATTTTTAATCTATGTCTGGCTGTTGTAATGTTGTGCTTTGTTTTTCAGCAGAGTTGTTGAGCAAAGAAGGACTACTGAAGACAACCGTTGAAGACAACCGCGGGTTAAACTCATGAGCGCACGTATTATAATGTTTCCGTGCTGTTTTCTGAAAGTTTGTCTTGTTTAGATAAGTTCGCAGGTCAAACAAAATAAACTATACTCTTTCTAAACACCTGTCTCGTGTTTTATTTGTCCTCTACAGCAATACACTGTCATATACAGTAAGTCTGTTGAATGCATTTGTATGCAACATGGTTTGAAAATAAAGTAGTCTAACAAATAAATAGTTGTTATAATTGTACCTTCATTAGTCAACATTTGGTGTACCGTTATAATAAAAAGATAATAAAAAATGTCCCAAGACATAATGGTAATATTATGGTTGTTACATAACTGTATTTATTATTATTCTGTAAGTTTAAAACCAGCAGAATATACTACACATTTAACATGTCGTGAACTTGCTGTTATTCAAACATTTGCTTAATAGAAATGTCCTAAGTCAAAGACAACAAAAGGGTTTTGTTTTGGTTTTATGTCAAACTACTGTAGGTTTTAGGTTGACTACAGCAGGCATCTGTATCATAATATTGGTAATCAGAGTTATTTTAATGACCCAAATCAAGTAAAATGTCTCTTACTCGAGTACTTTTTGCATGCAAAAATAAATTTTAAGTATATAAAATACATTTTCCAACAACACAATTTTGTCTTGTGAAAATGACCAGAGGGGGGTGAGGAAAAAAAGGTTAATGTCAAGTTATATATATAAAAGAAGTTGTCAAAACATTTAGTCATAATGCATTTTTCTATACATTTCCATTAGACCTTTTTTTTTATTATCTATAATTGGTGAACTGCTCCCAGGTCAATCTGGACTTTGTTTAATAAAGGTGAGTTGTATCTGAAGGGAGATTGTGTTCACATTTCTACTTTTGTTTTGGTTTTTTCTTTGTCCAATGTAGTGTGTCTTTTCCTTTCTGTATCACAATGACATGATTTGGCAACAAATTACAGTACAAACAGCAAAGAAAGAAATGAATAATTCGCCACAGTTTACATCAGAACATCCCTCCAGAGTGCACTGTTACACTGACAACATGACTACACTCTACGTGGGTAGAATTCCACAGATTCTTAGCCCATCATTGATTGTTTATTTACTTAAGTGTGTGCAAATCTATATTTATTCAGTTGTTGAATTATTTACAATAATATTATTGACTAATATGAAAATATTCATACGAATTATTTACAATACAGTTTGTAAAGTAATATTTTCAGTCTTTTAGGTGAAATTTTATATGAAAGACTTGCTTTGTTTACCAAATAAAGAGGATCTAATAGGATTTGCATTGTAAACATTAACTAAAAGTTAAAAATGTATTATATTTTTATTTAATATAATAGGGTTTTAGTTATGATACTCCCAAAATAATTCAGCATATATCCGCAGATTTTTAATACAATTCTGTGCAGAAATAGCAAAAACAAAATGTCCACAGATCGGTCTGACCCTAAACATGACAAACTATCTAACCATACACAATGACACAAGGACTTGTCATTCTGGCGGCATTGACATGTTCATTGAGAGATGAACCAAGGATTTTAAGCAAGTGACTAGCTTTTGCAGGTCATCCATGCTGTTTTGCTATTTGTAAGTGCTGTTTTGAGAAATGCACTTACTGTTTAGCAAGTTACAAATCTGAGAAATCTACCAAAGCGACTGAGAAAAACTTTAATACAACACAAGTTAATGCAAAGACGAAAAGTCTGCAAAGACAAAGTGTGTATTTTTATTTGCACATATTCTTTTATAAAAAAATAGTAGTGTATACATGATTGGGTTTGACATTTTTCTGCTTGATATTTAATACTTTATAGTCTACTCATTTTGATGTAACCATGATAGTACTAAAAAGAAGAGAGTCATGTATTGTAAAAGAGATATTTCTAAAAATCCATAGTGGAATAGAGCATCATAACCATGCGTTCTGCAGGTGTCAGTCACTGTTTCAAATGTAATTTTTAAAACCATTGTGAATTAAATTTCAGTCTTATACAGGACTACAAGCTAAGGATGTTTTAATTTTATTTATTTAATTTAATTTTAATAACATACAATTTAATATTAACCTCACCTCAATGAGCCTGGTGGACACCATGTTTTCAGCACAGTCTAGTGGTTTAATTTTGGAGACCATCCTCAATGTTCACTTGTGGCCTGTATTTATTTTTTAATGTATTTGATGATCATAAAGAAGAAAGAAAGTTTAACTTGGTGCTATAAAATCAGTCTGTGTTGTTAATCTAAAGTACTAATGTAATATGCAATCCTATGAAAAAAAAATAAAGGCTGAGGTCTTTTTATTTGTATGTTGTTGCTTTTTATACAACTATTAATGACTATTTAATTAATTTATTTACTGTAAGTTATAGATAAAATATGAATTAATTAATACTATAAGATTTAAATACTGCATTTTAGTGAATTTCTTTTGGCTGGATTAACTAATCAGATGTCATCATAACCACACTTTAATGATGTACTAAAAATATTTCCTAGTAAATTGCAATTCAAAAAAAATTAAACAAGACTAATTCTTAAAACACAAATTTATTACATCATATACCATTAGGAAAAAAATAGCAATATGTTAAAGTTAAAACAAACTGACCAGCACATTCAACTGTCCTCAGTCACAATTTTGCAATTTCAATAAAAATTAAATTTTTTCTATAGTCTCTTTGGTTAAAAAAAAAAAAAAAAAAAAAAAAAGTACAAAAAAGTATTCCTAGATATCAACAACAGCCAAAAAGTATTCAAATGAATTTAATATGGTCAGCTTCAGGTGCTTCACACCTTTTTATTGCTCATGTTTATTTAAAAAAATAAGGTCCAAGATTTAGTATAAAGTCACCTGTAAAATGTTTTCTCTGTTTAAAAACAATACAGTAGTGAAAGAAGACTTTTCTTACATCAGATTGTAGTCCCACCGAAGCAACAGCCCACCGATGATTCCGTCTGGTCTTAAAGAAATAGTTTTGAAACAAATCTTTGAGCTTAACAAACGAAATTAATTATTTATAGGCTAATTGATGTCTGTGCATACAAGGTTTCCCTATCCACGAGAGCGAAAGTGAAAGTTAATAATTTATTTCTCATTCTCGCGCTGCAGATGCTGTTTAAATGTTTTCTTGCTAGTGAAATGCTCAGTTTTTCCACTTATACTTACTTTACGTCATGTAAGCAGCAAATGCACCACGGCGCAATGCAAGCTGCAACGCGAGTCTTAAAAGGAATAGAAAATGAGACTCTGATTGGTTTATTCTCAAAACACACCTATAACTCAAGAAAATAAACTCAGCCCTTTGAGACTATGAGCCACGGCGCAAAGTGGATTTTTCCATCCTTATATTAGCAAAAGTGGATTCTGATACGCCCTGTGTAACGAAGGGTCTGACACAGAGGGATCCATTTGCAGTATATTTATTAAACAGAGTTTAATAACAAGCACACAGATGTTACCTGTGTGTGAACTTGCATAAAACACAGTTGTATCAAGTCGAAGGGCTGGCAGCAGGCAAACACAGGGTGAGTAAACAAGCATGGGTCAAAGGCTGGCGGCTAGGATCAGAGTAGGTATTCAGGCTGGGTTCAAGTCAAGGTCGATATACAGTCCATGTTAGCAACGGGGAAAGCAGGCAGGAATAAGGAACGCTCAGTAGTGTTTACTGGGGCAGAACAAGACTTCGCTCTGAGGTGAGTGTGTGTTGCTTATATGTGTGAGCGTGGTAATCAGGAGATGTGCTGCAGGTGTGTGTAACAATCAGTCTTTGGGAATGACGTAATGTCAGAAGTCTGGTGATGATGACCTCTGCTGGCCAGTGAGGGGAATGACTGGGACCGAGTCGGTGACACCCTGAATACGTTTGCGCCCTGCACCGTCAAAAATAGAGCCCTTAGTCATCAAATACACATGTAGATTTTCAATATTTTACATTTTATTTGTAGTTTAAATTATCCAAAAGCCAATAAGTTTATGTACAAGAATAAAATGATTAAAAATCCTACATAACATTATTAGTGTTATTTAGCAATAATGCATGAAATTGATCAAAATAGAAAGTAAAATATTCGTAATGCATTTCTGTCCATCAAAGAATCCTGAACACAGTATTATAGTCTCACGCAAAAATATTAAGCAGCACAACTGTTTATGACATTGGTCTGTATAGAAATGTTTCTTGAGCGTTTGAATGATTTCTGAAGGATCTTGTGACAGTAAATACTCGAAAAAAGGTTGATGCAAAATCAACACTGATATTAATAATAATAATAATAATATTAAGACATCAACTAAAAATGCATTTGCATCACAGAATATACAAATTAAGACATTTAAATAAAAACAAAACCATTATTTATCACTGAAATAATGTAAAATTATTGTTTCTTTGCATTTTTGATCAAATAACGGCAGTCATAAGCACAAAAACATTGAATTTTTACCAGCCTGATCTCACGAGGAAACATAAGTATTTTACGTTTTGTCCGTTTAGTGGCTAATTCGTACGAATTCGTATGAGTTCAGTTGTAAGAAAATGTACGATTCAAGAAACCCCACCCCTAACCCCAACCATCATTGGGTGATGAGCAAATCGTACTAAACTGTATGAATTAGATCGTACGAATTCAAATGAATTAGCCACTGAATCAAAAATATACGAATTGCCGTGAGATTGTGTTGGTTTGACAGATTCTAGATCTTTGAGCAGAAATGTATATACAGGAACAGAAAACATGAATGCTCAGCACACACACTCCTCCCTCATTTTAGCGATCTGAAGCAGAGCCACTCTTGCCTCTTCATCCATGTAACCCTGTAAAAGCAGCCATTTTCACAGGTTTACTTGGAAAGAGCATTATATAACATACATTATACAACACAAGCAAGTCAAACGCTACCTGTGCTGCACTGAGCAACCGTGTTCTGTATACTGAAAGCACATGTCTGTAATGCCTCCCAGACTCCTGCAAAAAAGAAAACAAGTGATTTTCCCCCTCACATCAGGTACAAAAGAACAATGAATAATGTATAAAACTTTCATTTAGAAATGTACAATGCATGTTGAACAAGCAGTTCATGTCGACAACTGCTCTATTTTGCAGCAAGTACTTTGAAGAAAGTTAAGATGACTCTTGAGAGTAATTCATGATCATTGCCATCAGAGTCACAGCAGACTTCATTTAATATAAGAGGACATCTTCATGTTACTCTGTGGGATTGCAAACATTGCTACTGTTGAATTAGCAGGGACAAAGGCCTCTCAAGATAATACCTCATGTCCTCTGATGCCCTTGTTGCTAAGAAACATCCAAAAGTAACACACTGGCAACCCATTTTGAACCTGCACACCTTAAATTAAAGGTTCCCAAGGGATTTTTTACAGCAATGACAAAAAAGAACCATTTCAGGCTTTCCTCTTTTTTTATTAGGCCTGTCAATGGGCCTGTTACAATAATCAATATATCAACACATGGACATGAGCTCAATTATTTTTAGTGATGCAATATACTGTTAAAGTCAGAATTATTAGCCCTCCATTGATTATTTTATTCTTGTTTAAATATTTCCCAAATGATGTTTAACAGAGCAAGGAAATTTTCACAGTATGTCTGATCATATTTTTTCTTCTGGAGAAAGTCTTATTTGTTTTATTTCGGCTAGAATAAAAGCAGCTTTTAATAAAAAAAAAAAAAAAGAACACATTAACACCATCATTGTTCCAAACCTTGTCTAATTACTTTAACATGCCTAGTTAACCTAATGAACCTAGTTAAGCCTTTAAATGTCACTTTAGGCTGTAAAGAAGTGTCTTGAAAAAATATTTAGTCAAATATTATTTACTGTCATCATGGCAAAGATAAAACAAATCAGTTATCAGAAATGAGTTATTAAAACAATTATGTTTAGAAATGAGTTGAATAAATCTTCTCTCCCTTAAACAGAAAATGGGGAAAAAATAACGGGGGCTAATAATTCTGACTTTAACTGTAGATCGCCCATACATAAAAAAAACAACTCTTTTTTTTTTTTTTTTTTTTACATTTAAATGACAATTTTTATGTATTTTAAAGATTTATTTTTGGCCTTTTTGCCTTCATTGGGAGGATGGACAGTATTTTAGACAGGCAACGAAGTGGGAGAGAAAGAGGGGGAGTCGGGACGGGAAATGTCCTTGAGCAGGGATTCGAACTCAGGACACATAATAAAAAAAATAAAAAATAAAAAACAACAACAACAACAACAACAACAACAACAACAACAACAACAACAACAACAACAACAACTCTAACAACATTTTAGCTGATTGTGCAACATCTCCATCTCTATTAGAGATGTCAGTGTCAGTATGGCTAAAAAAACACTATTTTACTAATAATTACTGGGTGACTGACGACTGAAAATAGATCTGGTAGCAGATAATCACAGAATCTGTTACTTTTTACCTTGAACTTTTTTGTTAAAATGTATTATTATTTATTTAGGATATGTGTTTTCACATTCTGATTCCAGTGCATAGTTATTAACTTGTTAAAATTACTCTAACAATTAAATTAAATTTAAATTAAATATTTTTAAGATTCAAATATTATGTGTTCTTTAGAATAGTGTACTTGCATTGTCTTGCTGTTATATTGTCATTCTGTCATTATTTAATGAGTGGCATAAAATGGTCTTAAAATGACAATAATATCGTTTAACGCAATATATTTTGGTGCAATGTATCAAACCACAAAAAATAGATATCATGACAGGCCTAATGGTTATCAAACTATTGCTTTTATTATTTATAGGCAGTCACACAATTTTCATTAAACTGATTTCCGTACATGTGAAGTTGAATCTGCAAGTTTGGTGAACTCTGACATGCAAACTAATCAGGGTTTCCACTTTAAGCTAAATATCATACTTCATATATACCTTTATGTAGTCCAAAGCAAACATATTAGCTTTTGTTTTTGATACAAACATTGAACAAATTTCTATTGATTATCTTTTGGTGGTTCATCACAAATGCTTTACAAATGTCTTTTATGCCCTTAAGTGTAATTGTATGGTTTACTTTTTCAACGTATATTTTTAGATTATATTATATGTGTAATTGTATTTATTGTCATTTATTTTTAAAATTCTACTTTTGTATTAATACTATATGTTAGGCACCTAAGGTCTAAGAGTAACACATATTCGATATTCTTTTTAAGTCCTGTACATGCAGTTAAATTGACAATAAAGCTGACTATGATTTTGACTTTTATTTAGTTTTTTTCAGGACTGTTGTTATTTTTAAACAGTTGTTAAAAATCATTCAGGTGGTTTTCGGATTTATATATATATATATATATATATATTTCAAGTATTTTACAAAAGAAAATAATTTAAGTGATTTTCAGATTTATAATTTCTTGCTGAATATATTGTTCAATTTCTTGTTACATCAATACTTTTTATACAAATCTACACTTGTTTATTTAACAACATATTTTACATGCCAATTTGCACATAACAGCTGCACGTTTAACATTGTACATGATAATATACCTGTACATACACTTGTCAATTTGTATATTTGCATTCACTATTAACTTCTTAAAATATAAAATATTTTTAAAATATATTTATGATCTGTTTTTTGTCCTGTCTCTGTCATTCTGTTGCACTGTAGAAGCTCTGTCACGAAAACAATTTCCTCAAATGTGTGAACATACCTGGCAATAAAGCTCTTTTTGATTTCTGTTTCTGATTTCTGCAATCTCATATACAGTATACGTTTTGTATAATTATTTTGATTTTTTTACAGAAGTAAAATGTGTTTAAATCGATATACAAATTAATAATAGCAAATAAATAATTCTATTTTATTAGTTTGTATATGGATTTAGCTAGGAATTAGAAAAAACACCCAAACATTTTTCCTAATGCAAAATAATAACTTTCTTTTTCCCTGGATTTTGCAGAAATAAGTTTGTTCCACTTTGAGAATTTTTAAAATGTGGTTGATCAATGATCCAAAAAGCTGGATATGTCTTGGTTTTTCTTCACACAAGCTTGTTAGAGGAGTTAAGAAAACAGGATGCTGAGCAGGATTTCCTTTATAGTCTTCAACTTCACTGCATATTGTAAGGCTAGTCTGAGACGAGTTTTCTAAAGAGAGCTCATTTGCTTCCATATAAACTTTGTACTGGTTGAAAATGGACAACTAAGATGGATTTGAATGCTAGGGGTCAACAGGAATGCATCTAATATCAACTATAAACAGAGCAATTAGTTGATCGTACTGAGTGCTAAATGCTAACTGTTATAAATACAATACAAACAACTTTCTTCTTATATACAAGAGAATTAGCCATCACGACAACTTTATCTCCAGGCAGACACGACATGCACATCTTACAGAGAATCCAAGTGAAGAGAGTTCCTCCATCAAGAAGACCACTACAAAACCTCTTAAACAAAAGTGCTTTCCATTTTGTGAGTCATGTGTACGGTGGTGGTCTGAGTGTGACGTCTGAGACTATCGCAGGCCTATCCAATTACTTATTTTGGGCCAATGTTTACTAAAAGCATGGTCCACTCCAGACTAACAAAAAGAACCACAAAGAAACACCCTAAAGGTCAGAGAAAGACAATCAGTGAGAAACTAACCTCTAGCTGTTTTTGTAGGCTGTAGACCTGAGCCTGCAGAGAGCTGTCAGACTGTGATGCTTCACAGGAACTGATGGAGGAAGATATGCTGACCTGAGCCAACATTTGACCCTCATGCTCCAACACTGACCCCTGAGACAGAGAACACCATGAAATTAGATTAAATTTCTTTTCTTTTTTTGTTTTTCACAAAAGTCAGCATGGCTTGCCCAGCAAAACACCCCAAGGTGGTCAGGGTGTAATTTGACTTATTTGTTAGCTATTTCATTTTTTAAAGCTTTTATCACTGAAGAGATGAGATGCAAAAACCTCTAAATGTCGTCTGAAATTTTCTCCTAAAATAATATTTTTTTTTCAGCCTCCCATGTTTATGTTCAGTTATTTCACTTTTAAGGCAATAAAAAGAATGTATCCGTCACTATAAAAGTAAAACTATTGAGCCTACACACAGCAGTCAGAAAAAAAGTAATTTTAGAAGAAAATATCAAACACCATTTAGAGGTTTTTGCATCTAAACTCTTAAATTGTTCACTTATTTAAACAAAATAATACTGGTTCATTTTTTATCAGTTACATAAAGTCATGTACAGTATATAACTGATTGATTTTAGCATGAAGTTATAATTATTTATTCAGACATAGTACTACTAAATCAGCAGTTTAACATATCAAATATTATTTTATTTAATATATCTTTTTAAATAGCAAATAGCATTTAAGTTTATTGTTTTTAATTCATTTGGACAAAATGGTATAGAATTTAAATATCAGCCATTTATCATTGTCATTTGAATTTTTCAGTATTTTTGTAACATTTAAAAATGACAGATTTAGGCTATTAGTCTCGTTAATTATTTCAATGATTTATTTAAAATATTAATACATGTTTTATGCATTTACAAAATGCAAAATGCTATGTAATGGAACATCAGCCATTTATCAGTGATTAAATTTTTTATCTCTTTAGGATGTGAATTGACTTTTTAAATTAAATGTCTGACAAAACAGTATATCATTTTAATACTGGCCATTTAAATTGATCACACGTTTAGTGTTGCTCTATTCCTATGTCAAATTTCAAACTTTAATCTTACACATTTAATATGAAAGCTTAACATTTTTACAGTATATTTACAATAATTTATGTCAATGTCCAATATTGTAATCTGGGTGCAGATCTGAGTTCGCCATGATGACAGTAAATAATATTTGACTAGATATTTTTCAAGACACTTCTATACAGCTCAAAGTGACATTTGAAGGCTTAACTAGGTTAACTGGGCAGGTTAGGGTAATTAGGCAAGTTATTGTATAACGATGTTTTGTTCCGTAGACTATCGAAAAAATATAGCTTAAACAGGCTAATAATTTTGACCGTAAAATGTTAAAAATTTTAAAACTGCTTTTATTCTAGCTGAAATAAAACAAATAAGACTTTCTCCAGAAGACAAAATATTATCAGACATACTGTGAAAATTTCCTTGCTCTGTTAAATACAATTTGGGAAATATTTAAAAAAAGAATAAAAAATGTATAGGGGGGCTAATAATTCTGACTTCAACTGTATATATAGTCCTAATTTTGTGGATAAAAATTTGTTAAATCAATCTTTTTAAATTATTGTAAATAAGTACACAATCAATAATACCAATGTACCTCACACACATGATCAGATGATGTGCTCTCCTGATTCACAGCTGTGTGACATTTGCTTTCAATTTCAGTTTTCTTCACATTTTCCCCTGCAGATCCAGCGTCTTCAGCCTGTGCTCTGATACTCTCACTAGACGATGACACTTGGTTATGCTGCACCTCACTAGAGCATGACCTCTGTTCTTCAGTCTGAACGCCCTCTTCTTTAGTGTTTGGGACTTTGTTTGGTCTCCTCTCCATCTCTGCCAGAGCCACTTTGAGTTGCTCTACCTCTTTTTCCTTTTCCTCCACTATGGCAGCAGGAACAAACCTAGCCTGCAGAGCCTCCTGAATAGTATCCAGTTCTAATTTTTGCTCTTGAAGTTCTGTCAACAAGCTCTGGTTCTCCTCCAGAATGCACTGGTGCTTCAGTAGAGCCTCGTTGGCTTTGGTTTCAACCTGTTTCAGTGCATCACTCAGCGAGCTAGCTATAACTGCATGCTCGTCCTTGCTAATGTAGTTCTCCAGATCAACATTATCTCCACACGTCTCGGTGATGGTGCTCTTTTCATGTTTACTGCACCATTCTGATGGAGTCTGAGCTTCTTTACAAAACATCTCTGCATGGTTGGTCTCTATATCTGCTAGCCTGGTTCTCAATGTGTTTATTAGCTCTTCCCTACTGAGCAGCTCCTGAGAAAGCCGGCTGAGTTCCTGCATCAAGGAGTTCTGATTCTCCTTCTGCTTCTCCACATCCCTCCTGCTTTGATGGAGCTCCTTTTGCATTCTTCCCAGTTCGGCTACGGCTGCCTCCCGCTGACCTTTAACCTCATGAAGCTGGACTCTCAGCTCCTCCACCAAGTGCTCTCTGACGGCCATTAGATGAGCTTGCATTTGCCTGACGCGGGATTCTGATCCTGCCATCCTTCTCTGAACCTCACCCAATGCCTCCTCCAGCTCCCATGCTCTGTTGTGGGATGCGTGAAGAGCTTGTTCGCTGGATCTTCTCAGTGCTTCATATTCCTGAGCCCGCAGAGCTAGTGCCGCATCCAGCTTGTGCACCTCAGCCTCTGCTGCTTCTTGTCTTCGTCTAGCATCTCGTAGTTCTCTCCTGAGGGCCTCCACCTCGCCGGGCAATAACTCCATCGGGGCAGATCTCACGGGTGCTGGAGCCGACTGTGGGGGCCTGACCTGAATAATTCACAAGGCTAATGTTAAAGTAAAACACACTCTTTCATGTCTCGATTTTAATTCAACAGCAGTAAATGTTCAGTTTGATGAATATGGGATATAAAATATGGATGACATCGATTGAGGATTTTGCCCTTTAATCTCTATATACTCTCAGAAAAGTGCTTGCATTTTAAAAGTGATTCAGCCACGTTACTTGAGTCACTGAAATCAAAAAAACAATTATTTAGTGGTTTTTATTTAGTTTTGTTGTATTTTTTTTCTACGAAATTTTATATGAAATTCAACATTGTACTTGCCAGTTCGTAACTGGTTAAATCTACATGCATTTGTTTAGTGAAAATAGTTTTTGTATGTTAAAGAGCTCCTATTATGGGTTTCTGAAAATTACTGTCCAACACAGCTCTAAATGAATGAAAACATCCAGCTGAGGTTTAAACCTGAGTGCACCTTGTTTAAATATTATCAATTTTTATTCATAAAAGATTTGACTCCGAGTCATTTAAATGATTCGCCGCTCATCAGGATCTTTTGCCTGTTCGTACCAACATCAACACGAAAAAATACCAAATATGAACTACTGGATCTGGTAAAACGTGAATGCGCCTTTCCCTTCAGACACTAGCGTAGTGTGAGGGATCATGGGATTGATCATGATGAAAAGATTACTCTCACTGAAAGCTGGCAATACTGTGAGGAATAAATGGTTAAAGTTCATTTTCACAACAACACCACAGTACAGCAAACCTAGTACTGTGATTGTTCCTGTCATTTTTCAGATGATTGATACAATAACCTACGCTGCAGCATGGGATTTGCAAGCCATTTGTTATAAAAGGAGGGATCAGCAAAGACTAATGTATGGGACCTTGTCAGTTACACAGTTTGTATAGACCAGTTTCTTCCTCCTCCAGATCATGTAAGTGTTTCTCCTTCCTACACAACGTGACGTGTGATTAAAATGGTTGCCTCGTTTTCTGTAGTTTGCAAAATATGTATTTAATTGTGTAGTAACTTACAATCGCTCTGCGCAGCATATAATGATGTATCTGTTATAGATCAGTGCGTGTAATGTGTCTCTCAGGTTAAATCTGTATGGGGCTATTTCACATATCGCATCAAAGACCATGTTGAAAACACGACGCGTGCTTCTTCCTTTAATGTGTTTTGACTACTTGGGCGCTTCTCTCTGTCTTGCGCTGAATCACAACAGACTGGGTCATCGAACCAATCAGCACAGTTTAGCCTCACGTTAGGGGTTTGGAAACAAATAAATCACTGAACGAATCATATGGGAGTCATTGGGATAATTAGGTAAAAATAAATGCATATTATAAGACAATAAAAGTGTTTTCTGACCTTGAATGCAGATCAGCCTGTTGTTGGACACCCAGAAAACAAAAATACGACCTTTTATAATGCATAATAGGCGCTCCTTAAGTTATGCTATTTATTGCTGTGTCATTAGTTTGTTTTACTGAAAGTCCTGTTATACCATCATCACATTTATAAGATATAAATTCATACTAGGGGAAAAAAAAAAAAATTGAACAGCTTTGCATATTTAAAAAAAAGTAGTAAAAATTAATTCATTGATATATATATAAACTCCTAACTTTGTATTTAGATTAAAACTGAAAACTCGCAATTTTGATAAATTAAGTGGGTTAACTGGGAAACTATAAACCCGTTACAGTTTCAAGGAGAAAAACAATCTGAATTCATAAACATTTTTCAGACTTGACTGCAATTCTAGCCAGCAGCTAGATCTCTGCAACTCTCATATAGTCTCCAAGCAATGCTGCGCCCAGTGAGTACCTGGATGGGAGACCACAGGGGAAAGCTAGGTTGCTGCAGGAAGTAGTGTTAGTAAGACCAGCAGGGGGCACTCAATCTGGAGTTTGTGTGGGTCCTAACGCCCCAGTATATTGATGGAGCCTCTGTTCATACTGGTCAACAAGCACGGTCTTTTGGATGAAACGTTAAACCAAAGTCCCGATTCTTTGTGGTCGTTAAAAAAAAAAAAAATTACAGGATGTCCTTCGAAAAAGAGTAGGGGTTTAACTTCTGACCAAATTTGCCCATTGACCTTTGTCCATCCCCATATAATAATTGGCTGCATCAATCTGTCTCCTCTCCACCAATCAGCTGGTGTGTGGTGTGAGGTCTGGCGCAATATGGCCGCCATCACGTCATACAAATGCTGCACACAGGTGGTGGATGATAAGATTCCCCCCAAAAATGTATAAAGTGCTTTGAGTGTGCAGAAAAGCGCTATATAAACGCAAGGAATTATTACTATTATGAATTATTATTATATTTAAAACTAAATGTCAGTGTAAAATAGAAGGGAATAATTCACGCAAGCAGCCGTATACTAGGCCACAAACAGCACCAGACAAAGAACAACAGAAACAGAGCGAAATATACGAAGTAAAAAACTAACAAACTAAATCAACAATGTGCAACTATGATGACAAATAGAAACATGCTAAAAAACCATGCAAAAAGGAGACACAGGAAACTCAGACCAAGTCTTCAGCATTTAAAACAAGATGAGAAATTGTGCATTTCTGAAAACAATAGGAATGATGAAATATTTATTTTGAATTGCATTAATCTATTTTATGGTAAATATTAACCTTAAAGTAAAATGTAAATCTTATCATAAAAATAAATAGACAGAGTGAGAAGGATAAAGGTCATATGCATATTAAGCAAAGCATTAACTAAACCTAAAAGTACATACTGCTCCTATTTAGGAGAACACTGCAGAGACTAAATCAAGACCATTTACCTGTGTTGCATCCAGAATATGACCTTGTTTGACACCTTTTCCTTTAGGGAACAAAAAACATGTTTAAAACATTAGAGCCCAGATCTGGAAAGATTTTGTGATATGACTGATTGCAATCCTGATCCTCTGCCGTGATAAAAATATACATTATAAAAAATAAAATAAATAAAAGCAGAAATACTCAGTTACCTTCATTGGAGTGACTGCCATGTTCCCTCTGTAAATCAGACACAACCTTTTACTGATGACATTCTCAACTGATTACAGGACTGCAATCAGCTGCCTGATAGCAGACTTAATCAAATGTTATGCGCTAAAGAAACTCACTGTTACGGGCTCTGATAAAACTTTTTCTGCCTTTACTGATCCTGCTTTGGTCCAGCCAATCCCTGCCGGTGGGGGTTTAGCCTGTGAATTCAGATGTAAAACAAATTAATAACAATAAAAAAGAATTAACATTATATAATTATGAATAAACACATTCTCAGTTAACAGTCAACACTCTGAAAACATTCAGTAAAATAAGCAAATGTAAAATTAGTAAAAGGTTAATGTCAGCATGCAACATTATTGAAAAAAAGTTTCTGGAACATTCCTGTTACTTTGGTAGAAAAGTGTTAGAAAACATCAAAATAATGTGAATGGAATGATCTAATAGCATTTTGAATAATATCCTGACAACATTAATATAACGTGCATGGAACGTTCTAATAGCATTTTAAATAATCTTCTGAAAGCATTAATATAACATGAGACTGAAATGTTATAACCAAAAAAAGCTGGATGCTTTGAACATTCTAAAAATCTTCTATTATACAATCTTTATAACTTACTTAGAATGTTAGGGAAAAGTACATTCATTTAATGTGAATGAAATATTCTAATGATGTCTTAAATAACATTCTGAGAGCATTAATATAACATGAGACTGAAATATTATAAAAGTATTTTGAATTACATTCTAATAAACCCCCAAAAAATAATACATTAAACATTCGAAACATCCAGCCTTTTCATAAAGAACAAATGAAAAATAAGATGGAATGACTAAATAGGATGTTAGGGGAATGTTTTTAGAAGCTAAAATTGTTTGCAGGGTCTATGGCTTTTTTTTTTGTATTAAAGGGAGGGTTCACACAAAATTTTAAAAAAATCACTGTTAATTTACTTTCCTTTAGGCCACTCAAGATGTTTCTTCTTCAGTATTGAATTAAAAATCCCAATGTATCATTAGGAGCCATGGGTATTAATATTGATTTGTCTGACAATATTTTTAGACTCTTACAGTGCTGATTGCTATTTGCCTGTATTTTTTAAAATCACACCACAGTTTTATAAAAAAAATAAAAATAAAAACTAATAATAATAATAATATTTGTGGAAAAATAATGAATATATTAAATGAATCCCATGAGCTTGGGCGAATCCATTCATACATCTCAGCAATGACTCAAATAACTTAATAATAAGGTCATCTCATCTGAAATGGCAAGGAAGCATTCTTGCAAGACTCCCAGAGTTCAAGATTCTTTGGATTCATCTCTAATGCCTCCTTCATGCTCAATAATGTTCATGTCTGGTGACTGGGCTGGCCAATTCTGGAGTAGATTGACCTTCTTTACTTTCAGAAACTCTGATATAAAGGCTGAAGTATAAGAAGTGTTGTCCTGCTGCAGAATTTGCACTCTCCAGTGGTTTGTAATGTAATGGGCAGCCTTGATACCTCAGGCTATTGGTGTTGCCATCCACTCTGCAGATCTCTCGTATGCCCCGATACTGAATGTAACCCCAAACCATGGTTCTTTCTTCACCAACTTAACTGATTTCTGTGAGAATTTAGGGTCCTTGTGGGTTCCAGTAGGTCTTCTGCAGTATTTGTGAGGATTAGGATACAGTTCAACAGATGATTCATCAGAAAAATCTACTTTCAACCACTTTTCCAAATGATCAACTAGAAGTCTAGTTATTATTTGTTGTCCTTACAACTAGGATTGAAGACAAAACTGTCAATTACAACAGTTTTTGCGGTTGTTATTCTATAGGCAATCTACCAGCACTTAATATATATTTAACATAATTTATATTTGACCAAACCACATATTCACCTTTCCCAATTAACTTTTTGTATGCTTCCTAACACAGGTTAGAGTGCAAACACTTTTTCATGTTTTATAAAAATAATGAATTTCTTCAGAAAGAAAGAAATCTACATTTTGGTACACTCAAGTGTGTATTCAAATCCATAATAGATATATTTCTGTAAAAATTCCTTACAAATAAATGCACCTCTCAACAACACTTCATGGAACAAGTCCTGAAGGTTAAATCAATATGTCAGAATTGAAAAAAAACTATTTTGATGCACATGAGCAAAAACAATCGGTATTCCTCTCCATCAACAGCTGCAGAAGACATTAAATTTCATCAGATTGATTTCCATCGCTGCAGAGATTGACCAGTCATTCTCAAGTGCCTGTGAAGTAGGATGGCTTTAATTAAAGTGCGCTGCGATTGCCGTTTAAGACTCTAGATGGCAGTGAAATCAATAAAAGCTTTTGAGTTCGTCTGTCTGCAGCAAACCCATGGCCTTACTGTCTACTGTAAACTTCCTCTTCAGGCTTGAGTGACTAATATTTCAACTTGATTGTGAATATGCATATGATAAACAGATAATCTGTCAGTTAAAACTTTAACGTTACCTGTGTAGTCCTCTGTGAACTGCCAATGTCTTTAGCTGAAAACAAAATAGGGAGAAATGAAAATGCATATTAGGCTTTTGTTGCAAATGCACAAACATTGAAGAGGATTATTTTAAATGTCACGAATATGCCTTCATTTCATGCAAGCCAATTTCCATCACAGAACAACAAAAAAATAAAGATATACCAAAAACCTGCAATAGATAAACTGAGATAAAACATAATTTGTTATGAAAAACTTACAATCATTTATATATATATTTTTACAGATATAAATTAATCTAACCGTTTCATCTATCTATCTATCTATCTATCTATCTATCTATCTATCTATCTATCTATCTATCTATCTATCTATCTATCTATCTATCTATCTTATTTGTGTGACAATCTTTAATAAGAACCTTGTATTATCATTAGGTGAGGCAGATTAAACAATATTAAAAGCATCATTCAGAGACAGTGATCTAAGAATCAGCAGCTGATGTGCTAAGAGTAAGTTTCTTCATGAAATTATTTTTCTCTTTAACTTTCTTTCTTGAAATTGGAAATCAGACTTGTCAACTCGTGAAAATGGATTTTCTGTTAGTGTTTGGATCTGTGAAGTCTCTGTGAGCACAGCAGGAATTGAATCTATCAGACACGTCTCTGTAATGACACGACATAATCCAGAAATGACAGTGCGCTACTGGTTCATGGTTTAAACTCAACTGACCTGCTATGTGCATGACCAGCAGGTCCAGTAAAAGCTACATGAGAGGATAACAAGAGCACCACTTTGCCCTGCCTTGCTGAAAAATACAGCATTTCTGGCCTTAAGATTAAGTGGCGTTTCATTTCACCGTGTGCATGTATATTGCTTAAAAACAGGACAAAATGTTCAGTTCCATTTCAAACTGTGTCACCTTTAGTTTGTTTGTGTTTAACACCTTGCCAGCTTCTATCAACATTTTTATGGAGAGTAAAAAGTACACTGGAGATATAGATTATCTTAAAGTATTACATTTAATTTTACAGTTTGAGACCTGTGCAATAGAGCACGCTTCACAGTATACAAACAGACCACGTGGGAGGATCTTCTACAAGATTTAAAAACTAGAATGTCATCCTGGAGTGTTACCTTTTGCACTTTCCAGTGCATGTTGGACAAGTGTGATCAAGTCCTGTTTCTGGCTTTTTCTGGCATAGTGATAGGCGTCATGCCCATGAACATCCATAGCAAAAACATCAGCCTTAGTCTTCAGGATTATCTCCACCGCTTCTTTACAGGAGTTCTCACAAGCTAAGATTAGCGCAGTCCTAGACAGATTACCAACAAATAAATCACAAAATAAGACGTGGGGCAGAGGGAGAAACTATTAATCAATTGTTATGGTATCTACTTAAGAAATAACAAGATATGGCTATTTTTGTGAAGGTTAACAAATCTCTTTATTTGCATTAGCTTTTTCTAAGTGACCCATTGATTTAAATATTTTTATATCATTTATAAAAAAAATACTGTTTAAATTTTAATTAACTTAATTTGTTAAAGCAATGCAATCTGAGAAACTTGACGCATAACCCTGCGTTTCCAGTCTGACGCATTTGCGTGCGTATGAATGGAAGTCTATGGGAGGAAAAGCCCAGTGCGGTCAGCAGCTTTACCTGTAGGTTTCAAATAAGCCTGAAGGACTCAATGAGTTTGATCAGGTGTGTTTAATTAGGGTTGGAACTAAACTGTGCAGGGCTGCGGCCCTCCAGGAATTGAGTTTGACATCCTTGCATTAGACCATTAGCATCTCACTCAAATTTTGTAGGAGTTTTAATCAACATTTTTTTTAAAAACAAATCAACTTAAAATTTGAAAGCAATTTAACCTCTTAAAGTTAAGTGCTGTTTTGGGGTTTCCGCCTTAAATTTTGCCAACCCAATTTAAAAAGCTTCCCATATCCACATGCGGAGGTGTAAATGCAAAAGTTTGGATTCATTTTGAAGAAAACTCTTTCAATTTTCAGAAAACACTGTTAAAAGTAATTAAAATAATAGTTTATTTTGTTTGTATTTTATTAACCACTAAAAAAAAAGGCTTTTTTTGGGTAACTCAAATTTGAAAGTGTTCCTTTTAGGTTCTGTGTGGTCTAGGTTGATTTAATTATTATTTTTTGGTTCCTGCACATGTCAGTAAAAATAAGAAAACAGAAAATGTCTCTATCATAGTTTATACAAAAGTTATTCTATTCCAACTGATGAGAGAATGGAACCACTTATGGTGGTATTGAGCCAGTACGGACCTTTAAAATTTAAAGAATGCAGAAGTAAATGAGAGTTTATTAAAGCTGGACTCTTCTGTAGATGCATTGTGTACAATGAAGAAAAGTTGTTATTTTCTAGGCCAACTTGGCTAGGAACTATACTGTGCACTGTGTGAAATCATTGTGACGGCTGGATTCTAGATGCCTGCTTATCGGCTCATTAATGCAAATATCTGTACAGCCAATCACACACTTTGCATGTGATTTGTACCAGAGATGTTAAAAAACTGCTAGCTTCTTACTGTCAGCGTACCGCTTTGAATAGTATTTGGTAATTCAATTTTGTTCTCAAATTTCATAGTCTTTTATGCATTTTACTAATACAAATGCTTAATTCAGTCTTTAGTGTGAACCCAGCATAAATGGCTTTTATCACCGCATTTGGGTTCAGCTTGCCCTTAATATGCATTACAGTGCAAAATTATTATTATTAAGATTTTTTTTTTTAAACAAAAGGCAGTGAAAAGTAGACATGGCCTCAGAGGTCAGAGGACTGGTTAAAGCTCATACAAAGGCAGCAATAACTCAAATACTTAATGCATAAAACCTCCTCTGAACATCAAACACATCAAACCTTAAAGCAGGTGAGCTACAGCATCAGAAAACAACAATGGTGTTCCTGCTCTTCACTAAGACTAAGATTCACTATTCACAAGGTTCACCAAAATCATGAAAATTTCATGTAAATCCTGGATCAATCCTGCCTTGTATTAAAGGTGCAGGCTGGTTATGGTCGTCTAAGGAACATTTTCCACAGTGTATCCATCTTGTGATCCCTCGATCCAGCAGGTTAATACATCATGTCATAAAGCTCAAATCTTTCAAACTGGTGACTTTGAAATGAAATTAGGTTTGCTGTAAAATGGCCTCTACAGCCACCAGACCTTATAGAATAAGTTTGGGGCGTGCTGGAAAAGGGGGTTGACGTCATAAAAGTGAAGTGACAAAATTGCTACACGTCAACATGGAATTGCAAGGAATACCTACTAAAGAGGCCAGCAAGAGCAAGTTGCATGTTTAGTACAAACTGTGTGTAAAAACTAAGTAGCTTGTAATGCTTCCAGTAAGGGCAAATCACAGAAGCCCTTTCAGAAGATGCATCTGTAAAGCTAAAAGGCCAATCGGTTGGAGTTTTTAAGAACATTCTTTACAATTTTGATTATGCTCACAATGGACAGCATGACTTCATCAGCAAAGAACAAAAGTCTCCAAAAATTTAAAAATACATAATAGGGACCATAAACACTATGAAGAACTGTTGAAACATAAAACTACAGCAGCTATGTGTATTCAGACCTCAACATCTACCTTGGATAACCTGTTCCCTAAAATAACAGACGAGAGAGAGCTTCACAAAGCTAACATCCATGAAAGAGCTGAAACTGCTAAAACTTTAATCACAGACACTTATGCTGAAATGCCAAAAAGATGGTGTCATGCTCATAAAACATGGAAAGCACTTGCACCAAGATGAACTTGAATATTACGAAGCTACTCTGGGCAGTTTTTGAAAAATAAAAATGAAAAGCCCTTTCCCTTCTCCAGCATCTGCGATTAAAAACATTTCACTGGAGGCTATTCAAAAGCTGGTTTGATTTCACTCTTTGAAGGTTGGAATTAAATCAACTGGAATTAACTTTGACTGCTGAATTAAAGGCAAGTGGTGGTAAATCACCTCATCAGACGTTCACAATATTTTATGAACACCTTTAATGTATATAGCAAATCTTCTTTAGCTATAATATTGGATGCAATACAAGTGTGCCATGCAGCATTCAGCATTGTTCCTAAAGCTGTTTTTTTTCACAGTCAGTGTACAAATGTTAGCGTATGCCACTTCAATAGGAAAAAAGAAGGTGACTTTCTAAGGACGTAGTGCAGATTTTCACATTATGTCCCTTCAGATTCGTTTAAAAACTGGAACTGAGTGCAAATATGCACTGGAATATAAAATGTAATCTTCCTCCTCTGGCTTTTGCTTTGATTATACAGCTAAAACAGAAAAGAAAACAAAAAATATATATAATAAATTCAGAAAATAATTATTTTAAAACATTTCCCTAACTTGTTTTGCTTGTCTCGGACAACGGTGCGAGCACCATACTGAATGAGTATCTGGCAGGCTGCTGGTTGGCTCATCTTAGCCGCAAGCAATAAAGGTGATCGACCATCCTGCAAAAAAGAAAATCCCAAAAATCCTAAATCAATTTTTTAATCTACTATTTATTTATTTAGTTGTTTCTGAACTTACTGCATCAACAGCATCAACAGATGCGCCGCTGTCACAGAGCACTTTGATGGTAGCTTTGCAGCCTAGATATGCTGAAAACAAAAGCAAGACACAAGACGTTATAATTTTCTGATCAAGCCTGACAAGTAGAAGCTATATCAGTCCTTTTGTGCAAATGAAAGATTTATAATGACCGATCTGCTCAAAACAATGACAACAACAAATCTGACACACACCCAAAGAATGAAAGAACTCATTATTTAGAGCTTCAGAATGCAAAAGAAAAAGCTCCAAGCCACTGGAACACTTCAAATATTTAAGATTGTAGAAAGTCCTGTAGGCCTAAAACATATTTGCATGTTAATAAATCAACATGAATTAAACACTTCTGTAAAATATTACATGAGGCCATGCTTATAAAAGCTTTCTTCCCTTAACAGTGTGCGCACAAATAGTTTTAAGTCAAGTTGTTTGAACTGGTCATGAGATTATTCACCAGACTAAACAATAAAACAAAAGTTATATAACATTTTATATATTTAAATATTTATTATATTTTTCAATGCATACGCCTACAATTAAAATATATGTTAAATTTAGGATGAGGATGAAATGTAGGAAGAAATATGCACAAGTTATCATAATGTCAGGAGTTCGACTGGAAGATGAAGATGAGGTTCTTCGGAGTTCCATTTGTGGTTGCTAAATTCGATAGTTTTTTTACAATTATCACAGTGCTGGAGAGATTGTGGAGAAGTGGGGGATTGTGTTTACATATTTTGGGAATGTCCCAACATACAAGTGTATGGGCAGAAGGTTGAAAGGGAGATTGGTAAAGTTTTAGGATACGACATAACTGCACCAAGTGTTTTTATTTTTTATTTTTTGCTTGATGGCTTCCCACTGATCAGTTCAGAAAGTCTGATCTATTTGCACTACATAAATTATTAATAACCGCTAAGAACATAATTTCTGTAAACTGGATGATGACCCACCGACCTACTTTGACAGAATGGACACAGAGGCTAAATCAAATACACACAGTTGAAGTCAGAATTATTAGCCCCTCTTTAAAAATGTTTTTCTTTTTTAAATATTTCCCAAATGATGTTTAACAGAGCAAGGAAATTTTCACAGTATGTCTGATAATATTTTTTCTTCCGGATAAAGTCTTATTTGTTTTATTTCAGCAAGAAAAAAAGCAGTTTTTAATTTTTAAAAAAAACTATTTAAGGTCCAAATTATTAGCCCTTTTAAGCTAACTGTTTTTCCAATAGTCTACAGAACAGACCATCGTTATACAATTACTTACCATAATTATCCTAATCTGCCTAGTTAACCTAATTAACCTAGCTAAGCCTTTATATGTCACTTTAAGCTGTATAGACGTGTTTTGAAAAATATCTAGTTAAATATTATTTACTGTCATCATGGAATAGATAAATTACAGCTTTAAATAAATCTAAAACAAGTTATTAGAAATGAGTTGTATTTAGTAATGTGTTAAATAAATATTTTCTCCGTTTAACAGAAATTGTGGAAAAAATAAACAGGGGGCTAATAATTCAGGGGGGAAAATAATTCTGACTTAAATTGTATATATTTGAGAAAATGACTTTGCAGTTGAAATCAGACATTTTCCAACAAACCTGGGATATTAATCGAAACATTTACTTGATCTTTCAAATGTTGTCAGGGACTTTGTTGTAGTTATTGTCTTTATGTTGGAGTTTCTTTATTTCTATCTACTTTTTTCTTCTTTTTTTAGTTGTCATTATTTATTTACTATTATAATCTATCTATTATTATTTTTATCTTTTTGTTTATTTTTTTATGAATGTAAGCATTCTTAGTAAATGTTATGTGTATACTATGTTTTTAAAAATTTTATAAAAAAAGCAAAAAAAAGAAGAAAAATGTTGAAACAATAGCCATTGACTTCTATAGATTTTTGTTTGCTATAAAAGTACATTTTAAAAGTAAGCATGGTCCACTTCCCGTCAGTTGCTTTGACACGTCAACGCGGCCACCATCTATTATAATGTCTATGGTAATGCCAGTCTCTGTTCAAGATTTGAAAAATGAATGTTGCATCTAAGACTAAAGTTGTTCTCTGAAGATGTTGAAGCATCTCATTTACAATAAAGCAAGCACCCTGATTTGTTCGAACCAAGTCTTTCTCATGAATTAATGAACAGATGTGTTGAAAACTCAATGACGTCCCTATGTACGGGCTGCTTCAGACAGCCAATCTCCACACTGGAATTTGCACAATAATCTCATGGCTGTGACGTTGCTTCAAAATTTTTTTTTAAACCGGAAGAACGAATTTGAACTAAACAACGCAAAAACAACCAATTTCACTTGTTAGCTAAATATATGCGTCTCAATAGTGTTTTTAGCACCGTGGAACACATACAGTTGAAGTCAGAATTATTCGCCTCCCTTTAATTTTTTTTTCTTTTTTTACATTTTTCCCAAATGATGTTTAACAGATTAAGGAAAATTAACAGAATGTCTGATAATATTTTTTCTTCTACAAACAGTCTTATTTGTTTTTTTAAGCAAGTATAAATGCAGTTATTCATTTTTTAAACACCATTTTAAGGACAACATTTTTAGCCCTTTTAAGCTAATTTTTTCCCCCCGACTGTCTACAGAACAAACCATCATTATACAATAACTTGCCTAATTACCCTAACCTGCATAGTTAACCAAATTAACCTAGTTAAGCCTTTAAATGTCACTTTAAACTGTATAAAAGTGTCTTAAAAAATATCTAGTCAAATATTATTTACTGTCATTATGGCAAAGATAAAATAAATATTTAAATAAATCTTAAGTTGGGTGGAGGTTGGGGGGGGGTTGAAGAGTGGATCTTCTTTTGTTTATTGAAAGAATATTGTAAAGATGCTGTGACCACTCACATGTAAAAATCAATAAAAACTTAAATCACAAAAAAATACAACTAAAATAAGTTATTAGAAATGGGTTGTATTTAGAAATGTGTTGATAAATAATCTTCTCTTTGTTTGACTGAAATTGGGGAAAAAAATAAACAGTGGTTATAATAATTTAGGGGGGCTACTAATTCTGACTTCAACTGTATATGACTGTCAGCATCTCAAAAAATGTGTTTTGGTGTTTCGTGACCCTTTAAAGGGCACCTATGGTAAAAAATCAACTTTTTAAGCTGTTTGGACAGACGTGTGTAGGTATAGTGTATAGACATCCTATTGTATATAGTCCCTTTTCTTCCAATTTAACAACATAAAAACAGTGGACCAATTGGACGTATAAGTGCGGCCCCGCCCACTAATATTGATTGACAGGCGCACAGTACCACATCCTCAGTTTGTCGTTTCATGTCAACCATTTTCAGCGTGTGAGTCAAAGCGATGTCACCAAAGGAATACCCTTGCTCTATTTTTAGATGTAAGGCTCTTTGGTGTAAACACAAAATGCATCCATACCTGCCAACAATCCTGTTTTTCCCAGGAGTCTCCCGTATTTCAGACCCATCTCCCAATTTTGTTCCCGGAAAACAAAGTTTTCCTCAGTCAAATTTAATTCAGGGTGCGTGGTTATTAGTCTCGGTATACAAGCTCAGAACTTTAAACTAGCACACAGTTGGCTGTAAAACTATACAAAGTCACAAATTATTTTGTACTGTCTGCCTGCTCTGTGTCAGAGTCGTACATGTTCGGCTGAATGATGATACTCTCACTCATGTTGCTTCTCTCTGTCTGCCTGTCTGTTGCCAAACACAAAGCAGGGGAGCTCTTGGCTCCACCCCCTTGTTAAGTTTGGCGGGATGTCGAAACTAATTTTTATGTGAAGCAACACGCCCCTAAAACAGCGAACTGTGTACACGCCCCCAAAATAACACTTTTTAATACATTATAATAATAAAAAATCTGAATTGTGTTTTGAACTGAACCTACACTGGCACACTCAGAAGAACCATAATATTAATATTAAATCTTGAAAAGGGGGTAAACTAGGTGCCCTTTAAAACATCATTTGTGTCTTCTCCTTCTGGAGCCACACATAAAAAAGTACATTTTCATTGCATTTACTGTTCACACTTTTTGGAGCCAGGATATTATTTAATATAACTTCAGTAGTGTTTGTCTGATAAAACGCATATACAGCTTTAGCTTGGCTTAAGGGGGAGTCAATTACTTGATAATTTTCATTTTCAGTATAGTCAATTTCATAAAATAAATCCACATACCTGCATCATGCAAAGCTGTACGCCCCTGCAGGTCTATACTGTCAACAGGACATTTACTCTAGCAGAAAACAAGAAAAAAAGCAATATTATATATGCTTTCAAATCCTACATAATTTATAGTTACATAATTTATAGTTAATTCACACATGCTCGGCTAACCTTGCTGAGAAACAGAGTTAAAAACACTGAAGAAAATGTACATTACATAAATCTAGCGCTTTTGGAACCAACGTTGCCATTTATTTCTCTTCTGCTTCTTTGATATCTTCACTTTGTCCATGTTTTTTTATATCTTTTGCTATGCTGCTTTAATGCAATTGACTGCTTATTGAAACTCATTTGCATTCATTTCCAATATTTAATTACAGCTGCAGACACATGAAAGCTTCACCAAAGAGAAATCACAAATGAACCACAGATAACACACCTCAAATTCTCAGCGTCACATTTGTGAGCAAAAGAACTGTTGCTATGATACAAAAAAGTGCAGTAAATTGCTCCAGCCTTGCCTTAAGCACGCAGCTTTATGTGGAGATCAAAAGCAAAAAGAAAGTCCAGAGAAAGAAGGAAGCAAATAAACATGGGATTTAGACATAAAACAAAAAGCATAGCGGTGAAGGAAAGAAAAGAAAACGTTGAGCAGTCTTTGCCAGTGTAATCGCTGAAGGGCTGGTTATACGTCAACACTGACACATTCCAAAGTGCTTTCTCATTACTCTTTCTTCCTGCAATTGTTAGCGGGAAAACATAATGCACGTACCTGCAGCAGACTCTGCACACACACAGAGTGACCGCCGGCTGCAGCCAGATGAAGAGCTGTTTTGCCTGAGAGAGGACAAATTATTTATATTACATTACATTGTAATTACATTTACAAGCAAACATACAATAACCTCCAAAAAGCTTGAAACTGTTAAACCAGAGATGCCCAAACTATAGCCCAGGGGCCATCTAAGAAGAGAGGAAGAATGATAGGCATGGTTTAGAGATTGTGAATTAAAATTTAACATAACCCTCTGTTTGTTTGCTAAAAGCTACCTGAAATTAAATGGTGTAAACTAATCAGATTTACTCTAAATATACATACTGTCACCTGACGGATAGAGGACAATTCAAAGCAATAGTGGATTGTGCTTTACTAGTGTATTCAGCATTGAACTCCACTGTATGATAAATGTGATTGTTCTTGTTTTTATTGCAATAAGTTATTAATTTAAATGTTATACTGCATTCGTTAATATTACTGAAAGTCATGTTTTCTAATAGATTAGGAAATTAGCCATGGCAACATTAATGTAATATAGTTTAGTACATTTAACTTCGGCACACAGCTCGCAATGATATTTGTTTTTTGGCCCTTTTTGCGAAAAAGATTGGTCACTCCTTGTTAAACTAAGTTAAAAAAAAAAAAAAAAAAAGCTGGAAAAATGAGTGATACAGTGAAGTGTAAATCATATGCCAAAACTGAATATTGTGGATGCTAAAGAGCTGGTCAAATCTGAAAATGACATTGCTCTCAGATGTAATTATTTTTGCCTCAATTTTACTTTAACATAAAATTAAAAATGTTCAAAAAAAAAAACATAAAACTCAAATTTCTTTATTAATTGACAGTCAAATTAAAAAATAATTGTGCAAAACATTTTTTTTACTTGCTAATGAGAAGTGTTGGGGACAGTTACTTCAGGAAGTAATGCATTACAATATTGAGTTACTCCTCAAAAAGTAACTAGTTCCTGTACTTAGTTACTTTTTATGGAAAGTCATGCATTACTTGCATGAGTTACTTTTTTTGAGGCTTGATCTCTTTCAGAAGTTGCAAGCTTTTTTTATTATTATTTTTAAATAGAGGAGCTTTGCAATAAACAATATATTGTATAACCCTTATTTACCTTTAAAAAAACACATTAAAAATGTAGGTAGGATAATGTTATTTTCTGAAAACTTCCTGAGCTATACATGCTGTATATGCAGTAAGCATAAGACGATAACCGTATTCAAGATATACCGCGGTTGAAAAAGTCAAGGTTTTAAAACCTGCAAAATTTTCTGCAATACAGTTCCTAAGGTATGTGTAAGGTTTTTATTTACAATTTTTAGGACAACAGAATCTCCAGCAGAAAAGATCTCCAAAGATGCGGTTTTAAATTGTAAAAAAAATAAAATCTGTTTTTGAAATAAATGAAGACAGCAGAAGTCAATTAATAATTCAGCCTGACATGTTTACTGCTTCAAAATATTATAAATGTCTGTTAAAATAAAATATAATCTGTTTAAAAGGGAAAAATGTTTTTTTTTTTTTTTTTTTTTACACAGACATTAAAAAAAGAACATATTTTAGAGCAGTAATCACAATACCGTGAAGCCATGATATTTTTGTCCAAGGTTATCATACCACCAGAATCTTAATATGCCTAATATGAAGAATAATAATTTTTTTGTCTCATTAGTGAAGTTAAATCACTATCCATTCAGATAACCCCCTTTTCCTTTTCATTCATGTGTTTAAATTAATGAGAATTTCCATCACAGAAATGTAAGGCTTTCTTCATTTCTGCCTGTTTCTGCATTTTCACATTGCGGGTGGGATTCAATGTGACTTTTATTCTTTATTGCTTCATTTTAATTAAGCAATTTATTTTTTGAAGTGAATTAATTAAACTTAAAAAAAGTTACTTTGAAAGGGGCAGCACGGTGGCGCAGTGGGTAGCACAATCGCCTCACAGCAAGAAGGTCGCTGGTTTGAGCCCCGGCTGGGTCAGTTGGCGTTTCTGTGTGGAGTTTGCATATTCTCCCTGTGTTCCAGGGGGATTTCCTCCAGGTGCTCTGGTTCCCCCCACAAGTCCAAAGACATGTGGTATAGGTAAATTGGACAGGCTAATATGTCTATAGTGGATGTTTCCCAATGATGGGTTGCGGCTGAAAGGGCATCCGCTGCGTAAAACATATGCTGGATAAAGCCTGATTTATACTTCTGCGTCAAACACCGGCGTATGCTACGGCGCTGACGCATAGCCCTTCGCCGTGGCCATCGCCGTCACTGACGTGCACCTCTCAAAAAATGTAACTACACGTCGCAACGACGCGTAGCATAAGCTCTGTGATTGGTCGGCTTGGTAGCGCTGACGAGTCTGGGCGGGACCGAGAGGCGCGCGAATGGCGCGACGCCGCGCGAGCGATTGTTTACAAGTGTGGAGTCCCGTGAAGGAGCTCCGGATGGAAAGTTTTGTTTTGTGTTTACCTCATAGTTAAAGTTGTTGCACGTCCGCCGGTTCCTGCCTCAAAATGAGCGAGTTTGAGCCACTTGTACATCCCGGAAGTGTTCAGGAAATGCAAAAAAGTAGCGAAGAAACTTGACACAGAGGAACATTTACACCTCACTGCCAACTAGCGTTTCGGAAGTGTTAATGCAGACCGGCAGAGACAGCGCGCAGAAGTATAAATGCACAGCCACGCGCGTTGCCTGCGCCGTGGGTTACGCCGGTCACCTGACGCAGAAGTATAAATCAGGCTTAAGTTGGCAGTTCATTCCGTTGTAGCGACCCTAGATTAATAAAGGGACTAAGCCGAAAATAAAATAAATGAATGAATGAATACTTAGAAAGGTAAGATTAATATGCAACCCGTAATACTTGTAATGTGTTACCCCCTACACTGCTCATGAGGCACTTTAGTCACTTTATTTTATAGTACAACTCTTACAGTAACTATTATTTGTAGCTCAATAAACTCTTAATTTGCAGGTTATTAATATATATTAAGGTGGTAGCTGGGTTTAGGGATTGGGTAGTAGGAATGTAGAAAAGGGATGTAGAATATACAGTCAATACCTTAATAATAGACAAGTAATAAGCCACTAGTTAACCGTGATGATTGGTATTTAAACTAAAGTATTTTAGAAAGATTTTAGCATTTAAATTATGGCTGCAGTATTTTTTTTCTATAGAAGATTTATTAAAACTCTTTAAAAAGTTCACTAAAAAGTTGTGTAATGAACGTGTTATATGGTGCAAATATTTAGCAAAATGCTGCTTTATATTTGCTATATACACACACACATATGAATTTACACATGCTGTGATGCATTAATTGTTAATTTATTCTTAAAACATTTTTTATTAAATCATAAAATTTTCAAGGTTTATACATTGTCTCATGGTATTAGATGGCAGACAGCCTCTAAATGTTTAGTTTATTCATCAACAGAAAAAAGCCAACTAAAATATTGATCATGACTTGAGATTTAACATTTTACAAAAGTATTCTTTTAAAACAAGAACACAATATTGCCAACCAAGCCCTTAAAGGGATAGTTCACCCAAAAGATAAACATACAGCCATTATTTAATCACCCTTTACTTGTTCAAAACCTATTTCTGTTTCTTCTGTTGCTGGTTGCGGACACCCATTGACTTCCATAGTAGGATAAACGAGATGACAGAAGTCAATGAGTGCCCGCAACCAGCATTCTTCAAAATATCTTATCTTAAATATTTTGTGGTTAACAGAAAAAAGAAACGTATGACGGTTTAAAACCACATAAGGGAAAATACATTATGAAGTAATTTTTGGTAAACTATTACTTTAAGTACACACATCTTACAACTATAACCAATAAAGCTTATGCACATAAAATCAATACTGTATTGACAAAATTCACCATTTAAAGTAATCCAAATTAATATATATTCCAAATTTGCTCTATTGGCCAAAAATCCTTGTCAGTGAATCATCATGTTCTCTAGCATAATTTAAGGATTATCCAAAGAGCTTTTTTGTGCTTTTAGTGGAAACAAGACCAGCTGGTCATCTCCACAAAAGAGTTCTCATGACTTGAATAGTGACCTACATATAGCACAAAATACTATTCAAAAAAACCTAAACAATGCTTCCTATTCTTCATTTCGACTTAGATTTTGGAACTTGTATTTTCAGTGTGTTATGACTCTGCAGTTTGTCCCAAAAACACCATATGCAAATCAACTTTAAATATGCACTTTTATGTGAGTGTATTCAAAGGCAATCATTAAAGAGGAGAAGTGCAGAGACAGGAAATCTTACCGGCAGCATCTACAGCCTTCACATCGACTTCATTATCCAGAAAAACATTAAGACTATTAATGAGGCCTTTTCCAGCAGCAACATGAAACCTTTAAAAATAACACAAGGAAATTCATGACTTACCAAGCATGATTACAATCAGTAATACTGTTTTCAGTAATATGCCTATATACAGTGTTCCGTATTTGTATATAGAAATACAACATGAGTAATATGCATTGGTATATTTAGTATATACCATTTTAGTGTATAAAAATGCTGATATTTACACAGGTTATTATTATCATACTTCTACAAAAATATGCAAAATATGAATTTACAACATGGGTGTGAAATTCAGGGTTTTGCCAATGACGTGGATATATTAAGAGCCAAGAGAAATTAAAGAAACATGCAACAACATGGCAGCCAATGCCTGTTTCAACATAATAGTCATCATAACCACTCCTTAAGCCTAATCCCAAATAAAGCAGGCATGATACATCAGTTTATTAGATCACAGAGACTGCTGGTAGAACAAAAGGAGGATCAACAAGATGTGGGATTTAGTTATAAAGGTGAAAAATATCTCATTGGAATTAATGAAAAAGTAATGATAATAAAATATGTAGGAACTTAGAACAAATAAAAATCACATATTTGTTCCATTATGTCTACTTGCAAATATCAGGGCAAGAAAATGCATATGTTCTGTTTGACGGAAAAATATTATCAAGTAGAAAGACTGGAAAACATGACTGAAATCCTGTCATGTGATCTGACACACCTAATGAATAACAGACGGCTTTAAAAACAGCTGACTAGAAAAGATAAAGGAAGAAAAATAGGAAAATCATAGTCTGCATGTAACACAGCAAATAGTGTTTATTATTATCAGCACTGCACAGTGCTGTGTCTCAAATTTATGATTTTGTCAAACATCTAATTTCGTTAGACAGCTTTTACTGATGATATATTATATTCTGTTGTATTCTGTGGAACATCTTTTGATACTCTGCTTTTATGTGCTAGAAAGCTCCACTGTAATGGGATCCAGTGCTGGTATGTGATGTGATGGATTACTGCCTGACTATTCAGACAAAAAAATTTACTTTTATTTTCATAAATCTGAATGTTTTTTTTTTTCATTTAAAGGAAATCACAGAGCACCAGCAAATGTTTGTATACATGCGCGCGCACACATACACGCACACATACAGAGATCTGCAGTGAATAGAAACATCAACAGCATGAGGTATCAAGGCATTTGTGCTACTCATTACATTAAAAACGTTTAATCACTAATTTCTAGAAGCTAATTCATTTTTCATTATTTTAATTAGAACATTTTAATACAAAATGTTGAGATCTAAAACTGCTACAAAGCCAAATGTTCCGAACTTGAAGTTGATGTCACAAAAAATGAGAGTTAAATTAACTTTTAGAGATATGGCTAAGTCACCACGATGTCATGTCTCATGAGACATGACCAAAAATAAATTCATGAGTCTTAGGCCCAATCCTAATTCTACCCCTTAGCCCTTCCCCTTATCGCTACCCCTCATTTTGAATGTTCACATGAAGGGGTAGGGGTTTCCCAACTCTCTTTATCTTGAAGGCGTAGGCCTAAGGGGAAGGGGTAGATACGGTACCCCTCGAAACAAAGATTTTTCAGGACCACAGAACCACGGCGTAAGAAAATTTCAACAACAGCATGGCTGCATGGAGGTAAAGTGATGCACAAATCAGTATTTTTGTCACTGTTATTAATTTTTACAGCAAACAAGTATATGCTTTAATACATTCATAACGGTGTCTGTGTTTTACCATCATGTTTTTTTTTAACCTTAAAATATTTTTTTTTCCATTTTGCCATCTATAATTCATAATAATAACTCCTGTATGGCAATCCCACAACATTCTGACACTCGATGACACTCAAATACCCTGTCAGAAAAGTCTAGTGGCTGGGAATTAGTTTTTTTACAGTGTCTGCTATAATGTCAATGTTGTTTTCATTTGAATACATGGATAAATATGGCCAGGGTGTAAATACACAGTACAGTTATGATGTTATTCCCACAATATATTGTTATTATAACATGATGCCTTCAGTGATTGCCTGAAGATAAATGAAAAAAAAATAATGCAACTGGAATAACTACAGCAGTCACCATCATCAATCTCATATAAAGAATGAGACCGCAATGACATATGATGACTTGTGCAGGTGCTGTAGTGCTGTCCCATTTCTTAGTGTGAAGGGGAAAGTCTTCAAAATTTACCCCTCAGTTTCAAGGGCCAATTGGAAGGGGTAGGGGTACAAAAATAGAATTGGGATTGGGTCTTAGTCAAAACCAGGCAAATATTTAATCACTGCAATGAACATTTCTCAACATAATTAATGATAGAAGAAAAATGAACATGAATCAATTTACTTCTTTAAACTTCTTAATCACATTGTTTTTATTCATACCAAATACCTTTATATAACAAAACGGAATGTGTGATATTACAGAAAGTGAAAGAAACGTCTTACCAAGTTATTCTAAGACTAGGTATCACATGAAGCCTAATATCAACTTGATTCTAAATTAACCAATTAAATGACTTCTTTCAAGTTTCATGTTTCAACATTGTTTTGTGTGCTTTGTTTATCATTTTGTACTCTTATAAAAATACAGCAGCATTTTTTCACTAGAGTCTGTCAAGTCCATGGCGAAAATATCTTATTACAGATTCTAAAAGCAGTCCTACAGCTCTGTCAATTATACAATAAAGGAAAGCGCAAAGCAAACAGGGCATTCTACGAAGCTTAAGCCTGAGGGTATGAAAGAAGAACAGGAAACCAATGCAGAAGGAGCATTTAAATAGCATTAAGTCTGAAACCAATGTTGTTTTCAAGCAGTAAAGACTTCGGCTAGGATGCATATGCCAGGCATCGCTCAGGCAATTCAAATGTAAAAGAAGGAAAACACTACAAAACCTGAGTGCAACAGACTCTGTGCTTTTCATTCAGAAGCCACTTCTGGAAACAAATCCCAAAAAAACAATCACAGCATTGTGCACTGCTGGGGAGGATGAGGGCACAAAAATACGGCTATCAATATCCCTCCCTTATCCCTTGGCTGGACATTTGCACTTTTATTAAAAAAGCTATCTTTGTTGCAAGAAACCAGGGATGAAATGCATATAAAAGAGCAGGGAGCAAAAAGAAGCGTTTTAGAGAGTCATGTCAAATTGAAGATCACAAGACCACTTGATTCCTGAGCCATTCCCAGGGGACTTTGCCACTTTAAAACAGGAATGAGCTCAGTAGTACACAAAACCGCACAGTGCATTGACTTATTTTAAAATTAGTTTTCTAAAGAAAAAAGAAAAGAAAAAAAAACTGTCTCAGTTGTTGCATACATATAATATCGAGTTTACTTCCGTAGTGAATTATTCTTAGTTAAGAGATTGGAGACAGTGGAGCAATTTAGCTTCATGTCATAAGTGGTACTTACACAGAATGGCCCTCTGGGTCTAGTTTGGTGGGGTTGGCTCCTTTCTTGAGTGTGGCTGTGAGTTTCTCTATATCGCCAGTCTCTGCTGCCTTCAACAGACGCTCATCATACTTTCCCCATTCTGTACTCTGACACAGAGGCAAATGTAACATTAGAAAACAATGTGCACACCATCAACTTGAATATGAAACGTTGACTATGTTGTATAAATTACCAGTCAACATTTAGAATTTATTAAGATATGTTAATGTTACTAAAAGAAGTTAGAATCATTATTCGTGTACGCAAACACACAAAGGCATTTATTTGTAGGGTTTTCTTCCCAGAGCTCAGATTATAAACAGTGCATACATACATATCAACACAAGAACAAGAGCTGCACAGTATATCGTTTCAGCATCAATATCGCAATGTGTGCATTTGTAATAGTCACATCCCAGCATCTGCAATGTGGAGTTAGAATTATTATGGTGGCTTGAGACAGCCAACATAATCTACATAAACTTATCATTCTTCAGTCTTCTTCTAAGACTAATTTCTATAAGCATCTCCTCCCAGACCATTCATGCTACAACCATCAAACTAACATTAAACCTCCAAAATGGTCTGACTCTGGTTGCTATATTTTTTCCAACTGATCAGACTTGTGGTTTTCTGAAAACTGAACTGGAAAATTTGAAAAAGTCCCATTGACATAACATTGGACCAAACTTTATGACCTCATAACTTTGCGCCAGACTGTCATACAAACTTATGGTTGGGCACATTTAACTCAGACTACCAATCTGCCAATTACTGATGACCTTTCAACTTACTAGCCACACTCTAGCAACCACTTACAGCACCTTAGCAAAAGACTCATAGACCTCCATTGTAAAAAAAAACTGCCATTGACTTTACATTGGACATACTAGCATATCAACTCATGCTAACAATATACTAATCCATGCTAGAAACATACTAACAAACATACTAATACACACTAGAAACGTACTAAGAAAAATACTAACAAACTAGAAACAAACATAGTAACAATATACCAGTCCATAAAAACATACTAACAAACTTACTGATCATACTAGAAACTTGCTAATTCATACTATAAACATACTAGCAACATGCTAGTTTATACTAGAAACATGCTAGTGACATGCTAATTCATACTAAAAACTTGGTAACCTTTCAAACTGCTTAAAAACTACTTCAGTTATTTAATTGTTAAAGCTACTTCAAACTTTCAGACTAGGCTTTCTCAAGCCCCCATTAAGTTTGTCTAAAAACTTTTTTCCTAGTTATAGTTCATCAGCAATGAAGAATGTACAGTGTTTACATTTTACATTACATTTGATTATTCAAAATTAGGGCAGGACAAAACAGTGATATGCACTGCTCGTAATGGTGGACCGAACTGAAATCAATGCTGCAATTCTAAGAAATATTTGTGCTGTTAATAAAAAAAAAGCACGTTATAACTTTTCCCTCTTCATTTACAAATATCATGATATATTGTGGATGGTTTTCTTGTGATATATCGCTGATAAAATAAAATCTCGCAATGTCAGATTTTTCCAAAATCATGCAGCCCTTATAAGAACTAAGAATGACATTTAAATAAGTTGAAAAATAAAGTAAACAATAAAAATTCTGAAGTTAATAATCAACCTAACTCTGAATATATACATCTAGCTATGCAATAAAGGGGTGATATGATATAGTATTATAATTCACAATAACTGGTTTTCTATGTGAATACAGTGCTCAGCATAATTGAGTACACCCCATTTTGAAAATGAATATTTTGATCCATTTCTCAGTGAATATAGGCAATGTATTTTGATGCATTTAAACAAAACAGATTTATTAAACCGATATATTTATTAAAATAATATTTTAGTCACCAAACAAAGAAAATAGAAATTGAAAGATAATACAATGAAATTCAAGAAAATATTGAAAAAAAAATCTAAAATTACATTACACTAAATTACATTAACTAAATTTTTAGTTAATGTATTTTTCTATAACATATAAATTCGGTTTTACTAGTTTTTGGACAGTTATCAGAAGTTATTTTGTTAGATAAGCTCCAGATTTTGCTTCAGTACTGACTAGTCTAATGTATATGCACAAATATAGCATTGAATAGCTTTCTATTAAAAATATACATTTAAAACATAGACTTGTGAGGGGTGTACTGAGCAACGTACTAGGTGTATGCTGAGCAAACGGCAAGATTGAATTTTCAGAACTTACTTCAGATTTCAGATGTTAGTGTCACATCATCAGAAATCCTTTTAATAAACTGGTTTGGTGATCAAGAAACATTTTCCAATTATTATCAATGATGTCAGTTGTGTCATCTTATCTTTGGAGAAATCATAAAATAAAATAAAGGGCAGCGCGGTGGCGCAATGGACAGCACAGTTGCCTCAAAGCAAGAAGGTCGCTAGTTCAAGCCCTCGCTGGGTCAGTTGGCATTTCTGTATGGAGTTTGCATGTTCTCTCCGTGTTTGTGTGGGTTTCCTTCGAGTGCTCCGGTCTCTCTCACAGTCCAAAGACATGCGTTATAGGTAAATTGAATAAGCTACATTGGCTGTAGTGCATGTAAGCATGTGGGTGTTTTCCAATGTTGGGTTGCGGCTAAAAGGGCATCTGCTGCATAAAACATATGCTGGAAAAGTGGGCGGTTTATTCCACTGTGGCGAACCTAGATTAATGAAGGGACTAAGCCAAAAAGAAAATGAATAAAATTAAATTAAATAAAAAAATAAATAAAATGAAAATATTTTATGCATCAGGGATTCATTAAATTGAAAAAAGTGACAGTAAAGCCAGTTCATTTTTCATTTGAAATAATTAGTTAATAGTTGTTATATTGATAGTTTACAGAAAATGTAATAACTAATTGTATTAGATCAGAACATCAGCAATTAGAACAAAGACACTCAAAAATACAGTGATGAATAATTAAAATGTATGGCTTTGGAATATTCTCTATTTCAATTCAGTGTGCTCAGACATGAATCCCAGCGATGGAGTGCAAAAGAACTGAGAACTGGAACTAACTGTTAATACTGTGAAAACCTATGTGGATCTTTCACTTTCAACAGCTACTCTGCAGTGAGCCAAGCAGTCATTCAGAGCATGGTGGAACTAATTTAAACCAACGTGATGCAACTTATATTCCAAATTTGCAGCATGCATACTTCTGTGAACACAAATCATCATTATACAAAGGGATCGACTCTATACAGGAAAACATTATGTGCTCCTATGGGAGTAATAATGTCTGAGCTGGCTGTGAGAACGTTGTTATAATAATAATTTTTTTTCCCACAAAAGGAGCAGAGAACATCCCAACTAATGAAAAGATAATCAAAATTACAAACATGGCATTATCAATTAATTCCCATTTACACAATGAGATTGTAATGTCTCTACTAGAATGCGATATGTCTATCTAGACTAATAACTAATGGTCAGACGACACAAAGATTCTAAACCACACTGAAGTCACCTGAGCAGTAGATCGAAATAAAAATAAAATCCATTACAAATAAAGATGAAAAATCGAATTCACTATTTAAACGAATTGTACATTGAAAATAACTGGAATTGAACCTGATCTGAAGTCAATAATAAGAAGATAAAAAGATTCCTTCTAGATCTTTACATTGAAAGTAATTCAATTTTCAGGTTTATATAATAAATTAGATATTTTTGTATGTATTTTTTTAAAGAATTGATTTAATTGTTATTTGAATATGTTGTATTTATTATAATATTTCAATTACAATGATCTGGATCTCTAAGTCTGTTTTCTCTGTCTCTCTCTTTGTTATTCAAATAATGCATTGAAATGACTGGATATCATTTATATTTAGGAATATTTTCATTTTGCAATATATTTTTACACTTACCAGGTAATTTTGTCACATGACCAACTGATTGTTTAAATGGAATGAGTCTGTCTATTTTTTGACACACTGAGAGCTAGTTGGCCACAATGCATCGGTGCATTTGTGAGTTGTTTTATGTAAAGCCATGTGAGAATAAAGACCTATAGTGATTAAAATTACAATATTTCTCTCCAAGTACCACCAAAATGAGCAATATTGAAAAACAGTAATGTAGTAGGCCCAGTAAAGCAGATACAACTCTGCAAAGTTAAAAAACATGGCAGATTACCTCAGAAATATAGGCTATATGTCATATATGACGTATTATATGCATCTATTTTGATACATTTTAAAATGTGTGTAGCATGTACATGACATATTTCATTCCTCCGCGTACTTGTGGTACACGTACCGCAGTTTGAGAACTACTGTTCTAGGGTGTTGAAGTTATTTAGGAATCAAGAAATCCTGCATCCAATGAGCATAAATCTATGGACTGTATATCCCAGTAGCATGTTGCTTATTTTTGACTTACGGCTTCTAAGGGATGATTTGATGCTAAACACTGGAGTAATTATGCGGAAAATTCACCTTTGAACATCTGGAATAAATGATTTACATAGAAAACTCTGTTTTATGTTGAAATATTTTTCAAATACTTTATTACTCAAATAAATAATTTTAATATAAAAAAACAACCAATTTATGTGTGTTTAAAAAACATTAACAACTATTTTGTGAGCAAATCCAGCATTATGGATATGACATTTGCTGTAAAGATTGTAAACATAAATTATTATATGTTATTATTATATTGAAACATCTGTTTATAGTTTCAAAACAACCAGAGATGTGGGATCAGAAAAATATCAATCTGTAAACATTTTTTTTTTAGATTTTAATGAGAAAAAATAAACATGTGTTACAGATGTGACCAAAAGTTTGCGATTTTACAGTATACATGGTACTTTATAGAAATTCTGTGAATTAAACTGCACAACTCAAACGAAACAATGCTAATCAAAAGGAAAAGAGTTGCTCATTATGGAAGAAAAATTATTGATTGGATGTGACATTTATGCATTTATGAGGAAAAGCTTCATTATGGATGTGACAACTCTTCGTTACGGATGTGAAACTGGCACTCGTGTGACTTTGCTAAATCAAATATAATATTTTGAAAACATTGACAGAGACATTTTTGAGTATTTTAAGCACTATAAAACACTTGCTTTCACCAAAGAATGTAGAAACGGCTTCACTATTTTGCTTGTAACTTTTTTTCATGAAAAGGTTGACATGTGCATGGAATTGCTCGTGTATTTCCTGGCACTGTACAACTTTTGACCAGCACTACTAACAATAATTTTTTTTTTAGATTTGATAAATCAAATTCCACTATAAGAAAAAATAAATTCACATACACACATGAGATTCTAAAGTTGGTTCAGTAAAGTGGTGAATAGCATCCAAAACTGGAGCTGTTAGACGGTTTCTAAACTGGTTTGCTTGTCAATACCATACTATACAGGTCTACTGAAAGTGAAAAATCCATGACCTAAATTATTTTTTTCCAACACTTGACAGCAAGAAACAAATTGCCCCAGCAAATGTAATAAGTTTACACATACCATTTATGAAAATACAACTACAGTACTATTCTATCACAGTAAACAATCTGTGCTAGTTTTACTCGAGCGTAAAAGGCTTTCTAGATAATCGCTAATGTCAACCAAAGTAATGCAGCGATAAAAATCACGTAATTCTGAAAGATATGATAAACAATCACGAGTCAGACAAGTCTTAATCTCTTTCGACATAACAGGTCATCCCTGGAGTTCAACAAAACATTATGAAACAGTTCACCCGCATTCAGACTGACCACCCACAGCTCCATTCTTCTACACAAACACACACACTCGGTTTCAGGTCATGTTATGGGCTTGGTCCAAAGTCTTGACAAGCTATTCGACAGAGTAAAACCTGTGTGTCACTGTACGTTTACCTCGTTTTTCTTAAGCCGTTGTTTGAAACTTTTCATAGTTCCAGTTTAACAGTAACAACGCCCAACCAGTGCACTTGTCCAGAAGTCCAAATCTGCGTCTCTACTCAAAAGTTTGCCTGCAAACTTTTATTCCACCCTCTGATACAAGCAAGGTTCAGCCTGTGTTGCTTGAGACCTGACGCTTCACCCCCGCGAACCAATCACCGGGAAAGCTGTGGAAGAGCGAGCCAATCAGCGCCGGCTGGGAGTCTCCGCGTGAAGCTCATTCCGTGGAAAAGCTAATTCACATGATTGTGGGCTACAGATTCCACAGACTCTATGGATGCCTTCAAAACCTGCTACACAATGACTGTTTGTTTTGGGTACAGCTGCTAGTTATACTGTCAGCAGGCTTGGCCGGTTTGCGAACTTGTAAACTCAGTTGCGTCATCAGTGGTTTGTTAAAAATAAACCCAATAATATAAAGTAGGCTACGTAATTTATCTATATTGCAAACGTGGGGTTAATGTAGCTAGTACATTTTTTTTTACTTTACTATACATATATACTGTATCTACATGCAAATTACAATTATCAATCAAGTATTATATATATTGTATTTTATTACCTTCTAATAATCAATATGAATTATGTACCAATGCATACAAAATAAAAGTAAAAAGTACTGTTTTTTGTATGAAGGCAGACCAGTCTCAAAAATAATACACTTACAAAGAAAAAATTCATACATGCACAGCACATTTCTTATTTACAAAATCAAAAAATTCAAACAATTCATAAATACAACACAATTTGTTACACACACACACACACACACATACAGTTGAAGTCAGAATTATTAAAAAAATTATTAAAAAAAAAATTCAAAGAAGGTTTAATAATTCTGACTTCAACTATATGTATGTATGTATATATACATATATACACACACTCACACACGTATATATGTATATATACATATATACTTATACACACACACACAAACACACACATATATATATATATATATATATATATATATATATATATATATATATATATATATACATATATACACACACACACACTCACACTCACACACACACACACACACACACACACACACACACACACACACACACACACATACATACATACATACATACACACGTACGTATATATTGAAATACATTAATATTTTCACCAAATGGATTGGATGTGTATTTATGAATCATGTTTTGAACTTAGGAATTGAAATTGTATATTTGTGTCATGTTTTGAACTTACAAATTATATTTGTGTATTTATGTATTGTGGATTGAACTTACAAATTGTACTTGGTAAACATGAATTGTGTTGTGGATGTATGAATTATATTTTGTAAAAGTTTTACTTTGAGACTGATCTGACTCCATAGTTTTAGTGGTTAGTAATGGATCTGAACGGATTTCTATCTTTTTTAGAATGGTTGCAGACTTTTACGTTTAAACCGTCTATAGTTGAAAAATATTACTGTAGTAGCACTTACATATTAGTGAATAAACAAATATGAAAAAAACACCTATTGCGTGAGAAAAGTGAGTTAGGTTGACTAGCAGTTGTCGTCGTTAGCCTTTGATTTACGGTCACTGAACCTCAAACCGTTTTAGGGCTGAAAAAATGATTAAGAAAAACATTTCTAATTGTGACCCAAAGCTTTTTACAGCTTTTTTTACTAAAAACCCACTAGAGCATGTTATGAATCACATCCTTTATGTGGTATCATGTAACAGCCATCTCCACACACACACAAACAGATTTAAAAAACACTAAGCAATAAAACTCATCCTGATATTTCTAATAAAAAATGTATTAAACTTCATGTTTTGGGATAAAGTTTGTCAGTTTAATGCTATAGCTAAAACCTGGGAAACCGCCAAATGCAGTAGACAAACCTGTTTCAAACATGAGCCTCTTGAAAGACCTCATTCATTCTGCCCTTAAAATATGTTCAATGAAACAGCAGCCTCCCAAATAGCATGTATTCATTGCCTTGTCATTGTGTTTCTCGAAAAGCAGTTCTACAAGTGTCCTAACTGTTTAAATCAGTTAGAAAGCAGTGTGGTACTTATAATTTGCAGTTTGTTATTAAGAAACATTGATTTGTACACACTTAAGTAAAAAAGGGTTGTATTTTAATCAAACTTTAAGTCTATAAATTTTCAAATTAGACCCAAGTTCAAAGTCTCTGCTTTAATGCGGCCGCACAACATTGTTTTCTTCTGGCTACATAACCTTCATAATTCAGCCTCAAAGCTATTGAACTTTCCAATGAACACTGGCTAGAGTCCACATGTAGTTAAAGATTATTCTATTCAAACTATTAAACAAAGTCGCAGCTCAGAAGGACAATTTATTGACTGACATAAAAAAAAGGTTAACCAGAACACAAAATGCAGCATTTCTATACATGACAGGTTCTGTTTATCAATATAACAATCCAAATGTGAATCGATAAAATGGGAGCAATTAGCCATTACCAGCATCTTTCCAAATGGATACTTTCTTAGACATGATCCTTAGAGGAGTGAGCCACACGAACCAATGTTATGTGATGTTGTGGGCACTACGATCTTCCACAAGACCGATGAATGGATATTTTTAAAAGAATGAAAATAAAATGAGGATCAGAACGTAGCACCAAACGTCCTCTCAGGTTCCGACCTCACACAGCTTTGCGATGATATTCTGGAGGTGCAACCTCATAATCACTTGCACTGAACAGAGACGATGAATTCTTCACCAAATACCTAAAACAAGAGACGCGTATATTTTACATTCATTTCAAGTGCCATTATTTTGCCATTTTACAGGTTCTGACGTTTGGTTTACATCCATCCAAAAACAAATGCATACATACAATTTAAAAATCACTTCATTTCTCAAAGTCTTTCCAAAGAGCATAATAGGAAGACAATAAAATGAATTGATGTTGTTGTCCCAATACTAAAAATGTAACTTAAATACCTTAGAAATATATTGATTTTCAACACCATATTTGACATTATGTGGAAGTATTAAGGCTGGACCAGAATATCAGATTAATTATTCACCTGTTTAGCATTCATTTTCGTTTTGAGATTCGAATAATCTTTTTATACTATTTATTCATTGTTTAGTCCTATTCTATTTAAAGGAATTCATTTAATTTTACTTAAACACTTAACAGTAGCATACTTTCAATGAAAAATTCACATATTTTAATTAACAAACCGTTTAAGTTAAATCATAGTGTATACACTCACCGGCCACTTTATTAGGTACACCTTACTAGGTGCTTACCAGTTTGCCGTCAGAACTGCCTTAATCCTTTGTGGCATAGATTCAACAAGGTACTGGAAATATTCCTCTGAGATTTTGGTCCATATTGACATGATAGCATCACAGAGTTGCTGCAGATTTGTCAGTTGCCATCCATGATGTTAAACTCCCGTTCCACCACATCCCATGGATGCTTTATCGGATTGAGAACTGGCGACTGTGGAGGCGATTTGTGAACTCATTGTCATGTTCAAGAAATTAGTCTGAGATAATTTGCACTTTATGACATGGCACGTCATCCTCAGAAGATGGGTATACTGTAGTTATAAAGGGATGGACATGGTCAGCAACAATACTCAGGTTGGCTGTGGCGCCGACGCGATGCTCAATTGGTACTAATGGGCCCAAAGTGTGCCAAGAAAATATCCCCCACACCATTACACCACCAGCCTGAATCATTGATAAAAGGCAGGATGGATCCATGCTTTCCTGTTGTCGATGCCAAATTCTGACCCTACCATCCGAATGTTACAGCAGAAATCAAGACTCATCAGACCAGACAATGTTTTTCCAATCTTCTGTTGGTCAATTTTGGTGAGCCTGTGGGAATTGTAGCATCAGTTTCCTGTTCTTACCTCACAGAGTGGCAACCAGTCTGGTCCTCCTGTACCCGGTGTGGTTTGACATGTTTTGTATGCAGAGATGCTCTTCTGCATCAGTTGTAACAAGTGGTTAGAGTTACTGTTGCCTTTCGATCAGCTAGAACCTGTCTGGCCATTCTCCTCTGACCTCCGCCCTCAGCAAAGCATTTGTGCCCACAGAACTGCCACTCACTGGATATTTTCTCTTTTTTGAACCATTCTCAGTAAACCCTAGAGATGGTTGTGCTTGAAAATCCCAGTAGATCAACAGTTTCTGAAATACTCATACCAGCCAATCTGGCACAACTATGCCACTTTCAAAGTCACTTAAATCACCTTTCTTTCCCATTCTGATGCTCGGTTGAACTGCAGGTCTTGACCACGTCTACATGCCTAAATGCATTGAGTTGCTGCCATGTGATTGGAAATTTGTGTAAATGTGCAGTTGGACAGGTGTACCTAATAAAGTGGCCAGATAACGTCAAGCATTTTTCAACTGGCTCAGTGAAGTCAGTGGTTTAAATTTTGACTTGCCCTACCAAAATTTCACAGAGACAAACAAATACACACACTTCTTGATCTGCACTGCTTGACATTAGCCCAGCTTCATTAAAAATGGCAGAGAAAATAACCATCAAACATTATCTCACTAACAGCCCCATAAAGCTGCTGAATTTTTCCATGTCACAATTGAAGAATTAAAATCAATTCTCCTTACTTTAAAAAATCTTGCAGGTAGCTGAGAAGCAGAGCTAGACTCTTTTCATCCAGAGGTGTGTAGGCCAGCATTGCTCCAATTCTCACTGGCAAAAGACATGAAAGAGACCATATCATCAATTACTAAAATTAAACATGAATGTAATTACCAGTGATGAAAAACTAAACCTTCTCTTTGATGCAACCACTAATTTTTTAGCTCTTTTAACTCATTCAAACCTTCATTGCTGCGTTTGAGGTTCGATTAAGCCTTGAGGATTAAATTATGGGACCGGGCTACTATAGTCTTTAAAAAACTACTATAGAATTCAAAGCTCAAATTAAACATTTAGTGTCCTGTAAAATATTAGAAATGGACTTTGCTATACAGTTAGCTAGCTTTCAAAACACATTTTAATCTACAATGATGAAGGGCAGTGGGTTGCTGAATAACTATAGAGAGATTTCAGAGATTTTTTACTGCCTTTCTACACCTCCCTTATTGCGTTCAATACTTTTTCTCTGCATCATTTCATTTTATTACACATAACTTCATTTGTATACCAATTAGATTTGTTTTCTTTGCATATTTGTATTTATTTGGTTGTTAGCAACATCCTGGGAAAATACCAGGTATACAGCTAGTAAGCTTTCAAAACACAATATAGCTTTTAAAGTCATACCAAAAAGTCTCAGCAAGTGCGGTGCTCCGTAGATCTGAGACATGGATGTATCTGGATGGTTTGCGAGGATCTCTGCATACTGCGGCCTCTCAAACTTGTAGAGAAGCTGAGTGCCCAACATCACGTTGAAGTACTCTCGGATTCCAGCAACCACCTCGTTCACGGCGTATTCCCTGAGAAAGGATCAAGCATACAGTATGAGTGTCTCTCCAAAAACTGATAAATATAACATAACAAATGTAAGAAATTAGTTACTACATATAATAACTTCTTAGCTGATTACACTGGATAAGACGATGGTATACAAACACACTTGTTATCAGAGTTTCCTCTTGATTTCTTGTAATTTGCATAGTCCTCCAGGACAGCATCCACATTCTTTTTTGCAGGCAAGTGAAAAAGCTAAACAAAACACAAAAAAATTTAATAAACAAAATGTATTTTCCACGCAAAGTACATTTTAAAACTCAAAATATAATTCTATGACCAATTTTCAA